GCTCTTACTTTGGGGCGCGGCGCATCCAGACCGGAAGAGGGCACTTTTCATTCGCTGACTGAATGTTTTCAGAGGTGAAGTAGGAACGCTATCGTTGTTTGTTTCATGTCTAATAAAATCATTTTTTCTTCATACAGTAGACACATATTTGTAATTGACATGTTTATACTGTAAAACATCTCCATGTTTTTACATCAATAAATGTTCAGACTGTGTTATATGTTGTAGTTGGCAAATGGAACACTTGAAATTGTCCCTGGTGTAATTGTGAGCGTGAATGGTTGTTGGTCTCTGTGTGCCCTGCGATTGGCTGGCAAGCAGTTCAGGGTGTACCCTGCCTACTGCCTGAAGACGGATGGGATGCACCCGAGGTGATCTTTGGGAACCAGGAACGGGTGCAATAAAGTGATGGTGTTGGTCTCTGAAGGAATGGGGACACAGAAGTCATCCTCGAGCTCCATGGGAGGATTTCTTCTCATTTTTCTCTCGTGTGTTTGTTTTGTGAGCAAAACTGAAAATAAGAATTGTCAATTTTTTTGAAGTGCAGATCCTCTCACATTTGTATATCTCTGTAATTGTGGCCTAAAGTTGTATTTGTGGGAACTTTGAAAATGACTTAGGCTTCACTTAATTGGTTTAAGGCAGGGGTGTCAAATTCATTTTTGTTCCGGGCCGCATTATAATTACTGTTTCCCTTGGAGGGCCGTGATGACTGAAACTGTATAAAGAAGTCAAGAATAACGTTTTATTCAATTATTGTTTAAGTAACTGTAATGAGGGGTTTGGTAACAAGAACATTTTTACCCTATGTCACTGATTTATTACATACGAAAATGTGAAATTTTGGTACAGATTTTAGCAATCATCGTAGAAGTTGACATGTTAAATATGCTTTCGCGGGCCACATAAAATGATCTGGCGGGCCAGATCTGACCCCTGGGTCTTGAGTTTGACATATGGGAAAGTTTTAAGCTCCCCAAAAAAAGCACACGCAACCCACGGGTGTGCATACAGTATATGTTGTAATTCAAACACACACATCATGTCCATTTCTGACCCATTTGCCTTGAGCTAACAAAGATACAGGACGCGACTGACTGTCAAGAATGATTTACCCGTTTTACATGTGGGAGAACTTGATTTGAGTTGTAGAAATTCTCACACCCTTTCTTTGCTATCATGACCAGATGTAACAAAAAGTTTTAAAAAAACCAACACACACACACACACACACACACACACACACACACACACACACAGAATAAAATACCCAAAAAACTGGTTACAAACACTGATAGTGCTGGCAAAAACCGTTTCTCCCAGATCAGCTATGGCGAGATTGACCAGAATCCAGTTGAGAGGGTGACGGAGTTTCTTGAATTTTGCTGTTGCCACCAAGACGAGGCCGTTGGTGAACACTGACGCAACAACCACAAAAAACATCCAGCATGTTGCAACATTGTAAACCCATCGCGGGGCAATGTGGTAGTTTGGGCCTTCAAAAGGACCTGAGGAATGAAAACAGATCAAGAATGGTGTCATTTCATAAATTTGGATTGTATAGTTGTTTACCAAAACAGGTTCCAAAGTGGCTTTTGGATTTTTTTATTTTTTAATCCGTGATCAGAAAGAAAATATGGCTAATCCAAAAAAAAAAAATCAGTTACACTATGAATTCATTGCACATACAGCGCATTTGACAATAAAGTTGAACTTGACTTGACTTGAATTCAAACTGCACAGAAGCAAAAAATGTAATTACTCAACGAGTATCTAAAACACTGCAGTCTTTTCTAATTAGTTATCCGGGGGTTTATTCACCACAGAACCCCCTATAAGTGTGCAAGAATTTTAGGCACAAGACTGCCGTCTTTAAATTGCCAATTCCACAAACAAAACCCGATGCCGTCGGGGAATTAATGAGAACTAATCCGAATGCCATACTGTACCTCTGGTATTATTGCTGTTTGTGTAAGCAAACGCAGATTCCCTTGTCGTCTCGTGGTATCGCCTGGCGGCAAAGGACGGTTTATCCCAGGCCTCCGCCATGATGATAGCACAAGGAGAAATGTTCTCCCTTTCTCGCAACTTGCACGTGTCTTTAGCTTTTATACTTTTGCTGCAGAGAACTCTGATTGGATTAAGTCAAAATTAAATCACAGCCGTTGAATGGCGCTTTGCGGCAATCCGCAAGCCAATGAGCGGCAACTGTAATTAAAACCAGGAGTAATTGGGTTAAGACACCAAATGCCATGAATAATCTTGTTGGAAAGCAGATTTCCATCCGCTGACTGAAGATGCGGATTATTTGGTGAGCTCTATACGTAGAGTGTAACACAAATTTGGGGTGGCAGTAGCACATCCGTACCAACTCAGGCTTTGGAACCCAACGTTTAAGTCCTACCGCAGACAAACGTGAATCCCTTTGAACCAAGAAATGCCAACCTCCACCCCGCCCTTAGAGGTGCGGGTATCTGGTGAGTGTTTATCCCTTGTGGGTCGACACAGAAGTAATTGTCGTGTCACTCGCTGTCCTGTGAAAAACATATATGCACATTTTTGTAATTTTGAAAAAATGTTAACAAGGAACCCCGTTAATGTTTTTTTTTTTTTTTTTAAAGGACCAAAGTGTACATATGTGTTTTTCACAGGACAGTGACGATTTGGAATTAAGCAACTAAAATATACAGTAAAAGGGCAGACTTCTGCCCTATCCTCTTCTTTGTGTGCATCTTCTTTTCTGTCCTTTGTTCAACATTCACTGATGTAACAATTCACCACTGTGTGTGTGTATGTGTGCGTGTGTGTGTGTGTGTGTGTGTGTGTGTGTGTGTGTGTGTGTGTGTTCACTACTTTCCCGCATGCACTGTGGGATA